TAGATCGTCAAAAAAAGATTCCTTCAAAGCCCAACAATCTATAACATATAATAAATCCCTCAAAACATTGAAATCATTAATTCTTTCTATTTATTCAAAAAGTATCTTAAGAAACACACGTTGAATGAAATGTATGCTGTAACAGAGTTTATTGTTAATTCCATGTCTGTTTTATTTTCAAGTTGAACTAATGTTGTAAATATAAACAATTATTTCAAATAAGGAAATAAATAAAGAAGAAAGAAGGAAAAATGAATAAAAAATATGAAATGAATATATTGTGCTAAAATAGTAGACACTTACTTCATTGTAATATTAACAATAGTACTCTAATAATGGAACAATAATGTAATTATTTATTTCTACAGTAACTTTAATTAATCATGCAACTACTTCAAATATTATTTTATATATTTGTTTTATTTTTTATTATCTTTTATTTTTTATTAAGGAGAGCATGAGTTTTGTTGTTCATTTGCCTATTTTGCTTATCCCTTTTTCATTTTCAATGATACATACACTGATATTCGATTTGTTTAACTTATTTGACATAACTTAATTATTTCGACTGTATGTTATAATACGTAATGTTTATTTTCTTTAATTGTATGTTGAGTTGATTTTGAAATAAATGATTAAAATGAAATTAAATATAAATGAACAGAGCACATCATTAACTTTATGAGGGCTCAATGACAATTTATGAGGACTTAATCGGACAATTATGTGTAAAGTTAAGCTATTTTGAATTATAATTATTCTCTATAAACTGGCCTATAAAGTTCTGAGCAAAAGGGCTTTAAAAGTACTGAAGAAATTGAAGAAAAATCACAGCAGCAGTCAAAGAAACTGCTTAGCAACAACACAGTTCCCATTGAGATATTGCGATTAAATTTTCTACGGTTTGCTGGAAATAGTTTGGGGAACAAAAACCTTCTATTTTTAAGTCAATACCACAGGAAGTTAATTGGTGATATATAAAGCTGAAACATCCACGTACTGATTATGGCATCCCTAATGTCTTATGAATTTAGTAGACATAAGAAGTGTTTTTCGTCAAGCCTTGTTAGAGAGTTTTGTTGGGGTGTGGATGAAAAAGGGGCGGGGTAGGGTTATGGGAGGGGGGTCTGGATTTTTTTAAAATAAATTTATAAACATTTTAAAAATACAACATTTTCAGAACTATGCAAGTATTTACAAGTAAAATGATCAGGATTTTTATTGTTGCAAGCTACATTGTAGCATGGGGAGGTGGTAAACAAGCTGTTTAAGCAAGACAATAATTCCTCCATTCGAACTACCGGTTCCATCATTAAAATACTGGTAGATCACATTAACTACTCTCTATCTTCTTTAATATCAAAACATTTAGCGTTATTTATGCATCCGTAATACTTAATTGAATGTTAGGCCTATACCTTTCTTTGTGACCAGTGATCCAAATCAAATTATGCCAAGGGCTGATGGGAAATTATGCTAAATTATACCAAATGTTAAACTTAATAGTTGTTTAAATAAGCGCCTTTCTCCCACCTAAAATGAAAGCAACACTATTCTCAATAATATTACTGTATACCCAGTGGTGCCGCCAGAGTCGACGGTATCAGGTCTGATGTTCCCGACTGGGAAGAGTGGAGGAATTGGAATGGCCAATTTTCCGGACGGGA